TCTCTATCATCTATATCTTCTTTAGCTCTGTTTCTTCTATCTATTTCTTCTCTTGAATGTCTATCAAGATCGTCTCGACTATGATGCTTACGATCATCTTCTCGATAAGGAATTTCTCGACGATCGAATTCATCGCGTGTATTATATGTTCGATCATTTTCTCCTCCACGACGACGATCATAATAATAATCATCATCATATTCTCGTTCACGATCATAACTGCAAATAAATTGATATAAAATATTACATTACCAAATAATTTTTATAATTTTTATCAGAAGTTAATTATCTACTAACTATGCACTTTTTCGTTCGTATTCATATCTTCGACGTTCCGAACTGCTATCACGTCGTCTTTCTCTACTATCATCTCTACTATTTCCAGAAACCTCATCATCTTCATCTTCATAAGAATCTCTACGATTCGATGCACTAGAAATTCCTTGACTCTCGCGCATTGATGCACCAACAGCTTCCTCGCGTTTATTTCTTGAATCACTAGTTTGATCTTGTATCGTAGCTAAAATCAAATACAAAAATTTAATAAGTATAAAAATATTAAATTTAAAAATATTAAATATAAAATTTTTTCTTACAGTTTATTGAAGGAACTTCTTGAGAACCTGTAACTACTCTTCCATTAGTTCTATCATCTGAAGATTGAGCAACTTCATTTGGAAATGCACCGCCCGGTATTTGTCTAAGATTTTCATCTGTTTGTTGTACAGAATCTTCAGATTCATTACCTCTTCCAGGCACTTCCCGGGTTTCACTTGGTTCTAACATAATTTGTGATTGAGACTGATATCTTTCTTCTCCAGATGGATCATTTCGTGATTGTTGTGGAGGTAGAGATCGTTCTCTACCAGACGGATCATTTCGACGTTCCATCGTATCAGAATCTGCTCGTGAGAGTAAAGGAACATTTCTTTCTTGTCCAGGTGGAACATCGCGTCGTTCTGATCTTTCAGATATGTTTCTTATTTGAAGACTTTGCTCTTGACCAGAAGGATCATTTCTTCTTGGATCAGATAATCTTTGACCGGATTGAATATATTGTTCTTGTCCCGTTGGGTCATTTCTACGAGGATCTATAGAGCTTGATTGTCCTGGTACTTCGCGTAAAAATGGAATGTCATTAGGCACTTCGTCATTTTCATCATCTTGACTCGGCGGAGTTGGTTCATGTTCTTGATGAGAATCAGTTAATTCTCCAGTTTCCAAAAAAGTATTTCTATCATTTGATGCAAATTCATAATTATCTGGTACCTGTAAAAAATTTTGTTTTATTTTTCTTATTTCATAAAAAAAATTAATTTATTATTTTTATATACCTGCTCAGATTGAAGAAGTGAATGGGATCGCGCAGATTGTTGCGCGGAAGGTACTTCAATATTATTTATTTCTTGCCTAAAATCACGCATATTAACTATCTCCTTGGTAGAATTCAGAATTGGTTTAGGATCATTATCTAATGTTTCCTTATTTATGGAATCTCTTGAACCATATATATCACGTTCTTGTAATGATGGCGTAACTACTTCTAAATTTACAAATTCTGAAGGCTGTTGAATATTTTCATAGTTTTCTACATTTTGTTCTATACCCCATTCTTTAGATGAACAAACATTATCTTTTGAATACCATGTATTTTCTGAGACATGCTGTAAAGTATCCTGACTATACCATTGATCATATCCACTTTGTGTTACATTATCTATAGGTTTAATGTTCGTTATTTGATATGCATTAAGTACTGAATGTTCTTGACTAATAACTTTTTGATTATCATTAGAATGAATATTTTCTGTACTAAGTGTAGCACAATCTAAAGGCAATCCAGATATATTATCAGATGTAGTATTATTATTAGAAGCCGTATTTTGACCCCATCCATCATCACATGTAATAGATTGTATTTCTTTGGAATCATTTTGATTTTCTAAATTTTTATTTAATTTATTACCAAGACTTAACTGTTCTAATTTTGTAGGTAACTCTTCTGTTGAATTACTTTTATTCCATTCTATTGAATCATTTGCTAAATTAAAATCATTATTCTCTTGAATAGAAATATTTTCAGAACTTACAATAGTTGATACAGTTTCAGGAGTAACAGATATATTAAGTCGGGAATCAGAAAAATGTGATTTAACAATATTTGTTTTTATATGTATATTAGAATCTTTAGAATTTACAGAATTTGGAATTAATGAAGGTATAGATTTCTTTCTTTCTTCTTTAAGTTCTATATTTGGATCTGTTGCTGAAGTAGTATTAGATTGAATATGATGAGATGGTATTGTATGATTTTGTTGTCGATCATTTGTAGCAACTACACCACTAATTTCTTTTTTAACATTTTCTTCTACTATATTATTATTTTCTTGCTGTTCTTGTAACCATTGAGATGCATTATTATCATTCATTTCTTTCCATTTCATTTCTGACTGTGAAATTTCAGTATTTGTTGCTTGTGACCAAGTATTGAATTCATCATTAGCATTATAACTTTGTGATATTTGTTGACTTTGATTTAACAATACAGATTCTTGATTTTGAGCATTCCATTGAGAAGATGACATATTAATTTGATTGGACCAATTTTCATCATTTGCATCATTTATAGAATGTTCTTTATTGTCTGTAGAAGATGGAAGGTGTTGAATTGATCTTGTTTGTTGCATTTGTGATGTATATTGATTACTTATATTATCAAAATTTTGTGCTTCTTTATCCATTTTTTGATCTTGCCAATGTCCTGATATATTACTCTGATTTTGCCAATTTTGGGGGGGTATTAAATTTGTCTGATCAGGTTTAATCCAATTATAATTGCTGCTAACTAAAACAGTACGTGTTGTTTGATGTTTTTGATTTTGTATACTTGATTTTTGTTGTGAATATGAAACATTTTGAGACTGATCACTTGTCCATTGAAGCTGATCAAAATTCATAGAACCAGATTTCACAGAATTTGTTCGAGGAGGTGGTGCATACTGCTGATATTGATTATAATTTGAATAAGGTGTAAAAGAATCTGTATGATTAGGAACTAGAGATCTACTAGCAACATTTCCTGGTGTGTTTCTATCTGGCATTGAATTTTGATTAAGCAAATCAGATTTTTTACCATTAATATTTTGATAATAATGGTCTTGAACAGAATTAGATATTAACTGTCCTTGATTATATGAAGGTATATAATGCTGTTGTTGTCGTTCTTGTTGTGATGATTGTTGTTGTTGTTGATTATCTGTTTGTTTATCAAAATCCCAGTTCCATGAATTATTCCAAGGATCATTTGATTGTTTTGGTTGATTCAGAAGAGACGGTTGATGTTGAATGGAATCATTTGATGATACTTGTGATGGTACTCTAGACATTGGATTCCATACAGTCTGATTATGAGCTCCATATCCTAAACTGTGATCTACTCTAGACCTAGATGGTCTAGCTCTATAAGGATTCTATAAATATATTTTACAAGATGTTAATAAATAGAAATCATTTTATGATTTTTTAATAATATTATATTTTAAATTTTACTTACACTCATATTGCCTTTATGATAGTAAGGATTGTTTCTTATTTACACAAAATCTATAAAACAATAAATAATTTATATATAGTATTCATTGTATTATAAATAAAAGTTTTAAACAATCAGTTATGAGAATTTTATTATTTTTTTACAAAATTATTATATTATTTATTATTATTATATATTATATATTATATATATAT